TCAAGAGTTTTTCGCGCTGATGTTTTCGATTCCTGCGTAAGGATAGTGACTCCTACTTCAAAATCTTCTCCGTTGTGTTCTTGCATCCTATGCGCGCCTAGTGGAGTATTGTGTTTTAGTTTAGATTTACCGACTAGGTGTTCTTTTATGCGGACGCAGAGCGGTCTACCCGTTTCGCCAACATATTCGTGCCCGCACGCTTTACAAGAGATCAGATAGACTGTACCCGAACTCATGCAATCACCGTCTCTACCATTTGGGCAAATTATGCAGTTTTTTGTTGTACATAGACGGTCGTACAGGCGGTTGCGAACTAGCTGGCGTCTTAGAGTGTCCGGTGGTATTTCTATCACTCTTACGAAATTCTCTAGACCGGCCCTTATTAAGCAGCGTTTTATAGCTGCACTTATTTCGTTTGAAATAAAGGGCAATAAGTTTTTTGAGTAGGAATTAAATGATGTTGATTTTACAACCTCAAACCTTGTGCATACTGTCCGCCAGCAATAATTTGCATCAACCCCACGTCTTATGCGGCTCGGTCATTTGCTTCCAGTCATTGCTGGGTGCTGCTATCGTCACCTTGTTCAGTGGTGGCGTGGCCTCGTGCATGTGGCTTGGCTCCAATCGCATCGATCGGGTTCCTTTTATCCGTCGATATGTATGTACACTCTGAACAAATCTATGCCATTTCATTAAAGACGTCCACTTCTAAGGCATTAAAGAACTGCGCCTGAATAGCTATTGTTTATAAATGGTAAACTATTAGAAGGAACGAAGTATTTCGAAGGCGAGAAACAACAAGGAAAGCCTAAGTTCTAACATAAACGAAATCTTCACAATCCTTTAACGCAAAAAAGTTTGGAAGCAACAGATTTTTTATCGGCATCACCTGTCGTCCCGTTGATCGCCGAGTGACTCGAGCGGGCGCCAGCAAATCTTCCACTTTTCCCTGTTTCGTGCATAGGTAGTCTGGTGAGTTCTGTTTGGTCAAGGAACTCCTCCGGTATCATATGTTGTTTCTTAGGTTTTCGTAAAAAACTATGGCCTCCGGGTTGCTGGTCTTCCTGCTGTACGTTTGACATGCCAGGGAATCCATTCACTAACGGCTCTTGTCCATCTTTTGTCGACTATACACATTACGTCTGCGGCGCACTTTATTTTCGACAGTTTGGCGTCTAGGAAGACACCCTTGATTTTTAATTGTTCACCCAGTCGGAGTTTCGGATCTCACCGCTTTCTTGTGCGGCACGGAATGCTCCCAGTATTGTCCTTCCGACCGTGCTTTCGATAAAGCCGGCTGGTATTTCATCGTGCCTCCGCCGTCCCCAGGTCTCTGACGCATATCTTGAAACAGGAAGTGTCGTGGAGTGGTGCGCACGGATTCGAGTGTTTTATGTTCACTACATCCTCAACGCTCTTGAAAGCTGCACAAACCGCTCATTTCGTTCTGCTCAACTCTGGGCTTAAGTCGTTCATTATGTTGATTTCCCGACCGAGATAGAAGTAAACAGAGCAGTCATTTTTGTAAGGCTCAGCCGAAGACGTGTTACAGGAACGACTTCATCAGGAAAACAAAGGTGGTGTAATTGCCAACCATCAATTTTCAGTCCTATATTATCCTTTTCCAAAGTTCGCATGACGTTCTCGAGGATGGCAGTAAATAATTTTGATAAGATGCAATCGCTAACTTACCACTCTTTTCACATTGATATTAATGCCTTTGTGGGATGGTGATATGTTTTTTGTGAAATTTTTATACAGATCACGAAGAATCATTGTTTGCTGAGTAGTGACTCTTGACTCTCCAGGAGTTCCATTACTGCTTCCATCTAAATTGAGTCAAAAGGCTTCTTTAAATCGATGAAAGTAAGACAGAGCGGTCTTTTGTACCCTCGCGATACTTCAATGAGTCTTGCTAACGTGTGGATGTGGCCGATCGTACTAAATCCTTGTCGAAACCCTGCTTGCTCACATGGCAATCCTTCGTCCAGTGTTTGGCCAATCCCGTTTAGGGTGACTGGAGTGAAAAGTTGGTAGACGAAATACACCAAGCAGATTTGGCGATAGTTGCCGATGTCGCAGAGTTCACCCATGCACCTCATATTCGGGCAAGTTACGTGTGAAGAACCGAGCTAGTGTATATAAGAGAGCTGTCGAAAGGTTCTTCATATGTTGTGCTCAATGGAAGGCATCCGGTGCTCTGACCTGTGCCAACGATCACAAATTAAAGATACCGTTCTCTACGCCAAACAGTCGAAGATAAGGTAGGCCGGACACGTAATGCGCAAGAACGAAAATTATGCGCAAGATCCGTTAATGACTGGATTCCGTAGGATGTCAATAAACGCACTGCAGGAAGATCACCGAACTGATAGACAGAGCTCTTCACGAAAAGCCTAGAAGAAAGATATGATGCTCAACGAGTTTCTAGAGCGAGCAGAATCCACAGGGCTACTCTTGCACGTGAAAGGCGACAGGGAGAAAAGAAAGATTTACTGGCGCCCGCTCGAGTCACTCAACTACCAACGAGACTACAGGTATACAGGTAAAGAATGCATCATGCAGCTGAATGGATACGGTACATCTAAGGAATTGATCAAATCCGAAACATTTGTCATTTACTGCCTATCATTGAGAGCGAGTTCACTTATCACGATGTCCTTGGGTGCTCGGTCAACTAATCGCCAAACACACTGTTATAAGAGAAATCACTACTGTACTGGAAAATTCAGCATCTCACAACAGCAAGCTTCCTTCCCATCGACAAAGGCCAGTAGCCGATGATCATTAAAGAAGGTCACAGCCCAGTTAGCAAGGATTTCCAGTTAATACGATGCTTGAGCAACATTAAACGTGTAACACAGAGCTGGTGTTTCGACTAAATGACGACAATTTTTAAATAATCAGAGCATCTGAAGAGTTGTTAAATTGCAGAAGTATAAGGGAGAATTCATCACATTAATTACATTGACAATATTTATCCAGTACCGTTTCCATTTTAAAAACGTTTAGAACTAAGTCTTGCAAATAACTGGAAGAGGAGTTAAATTTTTTAAAAATATTCACAGTGCAGAAGCGACAGCTGTACGCACGAACAGTTCACTAACAAACACATCATATCATAACAGACGGAATCCCACATTCTCATCCGCTTTAGTATTCTAAATATGAGTGTTGGAACAATGAAGAAGAAGGAATATAAGTCACAGGTACCAAAGAGCGCCAAATTTTATCAGAGTAAAATGAGGCCACTGTTCCTTCACAAGAGCTGTCTCGTTCGCCACCTAGTTGTAATAAGACAACTCCATTAATAACATCCACAACAGTAGGAAATTGCTAATGACGACGACATTGGAAGGGTAACCAAGAGCATCAAGGAAAGAAAATGGGTACCAAAAATGCGAAGTAAACGGCAAATTCGGCAGTGCTCAACACTCCTCTTCGAAAAGGCACAATCATTAAACGTTGAGAATAGCGAAATACAACCACAACGTTGCTGAAATATTTGCAAAACCCTGGACTGCAGGTGTCTATGGTGGGGAACGAACGAGCTATTGTCCTTTCCGGGGAGTAACGCGTTCACCACCACACCATGCGGGTCCTTCGTTTCGCCTATCTCTCAGCTATTTCTATCGATCTTTTTGCCACAGCAATCACCCGTCAGCGGGATTGATCTGGGGCGCCCAAATCGGCATAGAACCCAGTTAAGCTGCGGCTGTAGTTGAAATCACAATGTTATACCTTTTTATTTTCTGCCTACTATAATTTCGCAGCAGGGTACTAAGTGAAATACAACCACAACGTTGCTGAGATAATTGCAAAACTCTGGACCACAGGTGTCTATGGTGGCTTAGTACCCTGCGGCGAAATTATAGTAGGCAGAAAATAAAAAGGTATAGCGTTGGGATTAGCGTTAAAATTTATACGTTAAACGTTACGTGAAAATCTCGAAACTAACATGTAAACAACTGTTCAGTTGCAGAAGAAGACAATAGGTCGTACACTGCTTGCAGAGGGCTCGAACGTCTTCGCTGAAGTTCACGACATTCGATATATCAGCAGAAATGTGGGGAAAGCAGAAAATGAAACTTGGCGAACCTATTTCCACAGATACAACGAAGACCAAACTCAGTTTTGAAGAACTAATCTCCAATGCCTATAACGATTCAGGAATCGTGAAGAATGCTCATTGTAAGTCGTCTTAGTTTCAGCGTCCTTTTCACGACTAGGGAGAAGGTCGAATGACTTCGTACCGACATCTGGGACGTATCGATGGTGTACCTGTTGAACTGATAGGATTACAATAAGAGCCAAAATCATAAAAACACTGATTATTAAAAANACAATAGGTCGTACACTGCTTGCAGAGGGCTCGAACTTCTTCGCTGAAGTTCACGATATTAGATATAACAGCAGAAATGTGGGGAAAGCAGAAAATGAAACTTGGCGAACCTATTTCCACAGATACAACGAAGACCAAACTCAGTTTTGAAGAACTAATCTCCAATGCCTATAACGATTCAGGAATCGTGAAGAATGCTCATTGTAAGTCGTCTTAGTTTCAGCGTCCTTTTCACGACTAGGGAGAAGGTCGAATGACTTCGTACCGACATCTGGGACGTATCGATGGTGTACCTGTTGAACTGATAGGATTACAATAAGAGCCAAAATCATAAAAACACTGATTATTAAAAANCACATAAATAGTTATAAACATTCGATCGAAAATGCAAGGTGGAAGCAACAGTCTGATACAAACTAGAAGGATTGAAGAAAAAGGGAAAAAAAGGATAAAGGCCTCGACGTTGATCAATCCCTGAGGGGTGGATCATGCATTCGACTTCATGAAATATCGTCGAAAGTGAATGAATGCATATCTGGCCTTTACAATGACTCGCGCTGGCCTACCGATGTATCGAGCCAGTGCTGCTCTATCCTCCTAGACAAGTTTGGTATAAATTTGCCGACGCCGGAGGGATAGAAGAACTGGTGGACCATAAGCGCAGAGATCGATGCCACGTGTGTGTTGCAGTGGCGCCTCCAACAACTGCGCTTCATGCGCCCGAAACCAATATAATCTCGTAGGTATAGCAATTAAGGAAAGCAAAAGGCTCGAAGTAGAAACAACAAGCAGGGAAAAAATGTGTTGCACAGAAAGTGAAACCGACGAGCAGGTTAATCTGAGAAAGAATGGACAGAGAATAAGCGAACATGCGTTGATATTACACGCTGCAAACAGTAAGAGTCTAGAAATATAAAGAAGAACCAAGCACAAAATCTCTCTTGATTCGAAGGCAAGCTTTTTGAAGTCCTCAACGAATTGCCCTTTTCGTCACTTTCGTCGCGTCTGTTATCACCCAAGGAAGCTTTTCCAGCCAACGAAGACATCGAAAGATCGACCCTGAATACCACTACCAAGCGCTTTCAAGCATACCGACAATAACTAATTCCTCTTCTTTTTTTTCTCTAACTTTCTCTCTTTTTCTTCCACTTTTCTCTCTTCTACTTTAGATACCTGGGCGGCCCGTTATGGTAGCCACTGTAGCTTCCTGAAATCCCGAGGTCAGCCTGGCCAAAGTATGCACCAAGTCGTCGCCACTACAAGTCGTCGCCGCCCTTGTAAATCAGAAAGAGCTTTGTCCCATTCGACTAGTCTAGGACGGTAGTGGATTCTGCTATTGGTTTACTCCTAACCAAGCTTCCTGATGGAAACGCCGGACTCCTTCTCAGCATGAGAGACCCTGCCGGGTGATGAATCCTCTGTCGTACAT